CACAAGATCAGACATTGTCTATGCAGTAAATGTTATAAACAAATTCATACATAACTCAAAAAAAGTACGTTTATAAACAACCTACTTAATACTATAATAGTTAAAAGGATCACCAGAAAAAGAAAATATGTTAAAAAATAATAATCAATTGCTCTTACAAGTCTATACTAATGGAGATTATGCAAGATCGATTATAAATAGAAGACATAATATAGACGACTGTACCTTCCTCGGTGACAACCTAGTCACCTAGAGAATTAGGAAACAAAATATAGTTGTAAGATCAAGTACGGAACCATGTTATAGGCAATAACACAATAGGTATGTGAATTAATTGTATAAAAAGAATTTTAGAAGATTTTAAAATCAAATGAAAAAATTCTATGTACTTATACTATGATAATAAGTCAGTTATAAGTATTTTCACAATCCGGTATAATATGTTCGGACCAAACACATTGAGATTGATAAATATTTTATCATCAAAAAACTTAATAGCAACATAATAGTACACCATATATGTCCATCGATTCTCAACATGCACATGTTAATTAAAGGTGTAAACAATCTAATATTTCAAACTCTTATTGGGAAGTTGAGAATAGACGATGTTTATTCCTGAGCTTGAGATGAAGTATTAAAGATGAGATAAATTAGGGTATTAAAAAAAAAGTGAATTAGGATGTTAAAGATAAAATAAATTAGGATGTTCAAGAGAAAGTAAATGAGAGTATTAGAAAATAAGTAAATTAGGATATTAAAGAAGAAGTAAATCAAGTTAAAGGATATAAAGGTAAAATTACATCTTTGTAATTAACTATAATTAATTTTTTTTTAATTTTCTTTTACGTCATAGAAAATTTGTATTTAGAATTGTAATATTTAATAAAAAAACAGTAATTAAAAAAAGAAAACTATGCTTAACATATAAATTCGTGTTGGATCAAGTTTACTAAAAAATTTAATTGGACAAGAAATAAAATAAAATTTTAAAACTCAAGATGAGTTCAGGTTTTGAAATTTTAAAACCGAGTCTGGTTAAAATTTTACAAATCCTTTATCATTCATCCACATTATTGTGAGTGGATTACTTCGTTTACCTTTATTAACCCATTTATAAAAAAAAAAAAGAATAATTATTCTAAAATGTTAAATGGTTATCTAATATTTCAGTATATGTTAGATGAATGACTGTATTGTTATACTTTGTTATTGAATAATTATTTAATTATTATAAAAAAAAATATTAGTCATTATAAATAAACCTAAATACATTAAATTTCAAAAAAACTAAATTGTGCAAAATTTGTTATGAATGGTGAATCAAAGAAATATATGAAAAAGTGAATTTATTATATAAAGACGTATATCAAATATTCAAAGCCAATAATGAAAATGATAATATCAAATAACAATTACCTTGGTAAATCAGTTAATTATCATCTTTTCTGAAAAATATACTAAAATTAAATACAAAACAAATATACTCAATATATTTATTTTAAAAATAATTATATTTGCGTAACGGTACATTAGTTAAAAATTGTGTGTGAAGTATAAATAATTACTGCATAATATTATAAGTTATTTTGAAAAATTGAAAGAATGGATGGCTGTGATTGATTGTTGTTGATCTAACGATCATAACTAGAGGAGCATGCATTATATATGTGTAAACACTGGAGGTAGATCAGCACTGCATCTTCCATTTTGATTTCTCACAGAATGAAAAACAAAATGAAGTCATGCTTGATGGTAAACTGGGTGGTGATGGTACTGCTGATTCGACTCCATGAAGGCCTGTGTTGCTGGGAAGAAGAAAGATTCAGTCTTTTAGATATCAAGGCCTTCTTCAAATCAAACAGTGAAGATACCAATTATCTTCTTCCTTCATGGCTTGATGAGGATCACAGTGACTGCTGCAACTGCGAGGGAGTCACCTGCGACTCAACCACAGGCCGAGTCACTCGACTATTGCTTGACAGTCTCAATCACTACCCATATAGCAACATTTGGTTTCTAAATTTTTCCATCTTCTTGCCCTTTAAACACCTCTCAAGTCTGAGTTTGTCTAGTAACAATTTGTTTGGTTCCATTGAGGATGAAGGTATGTGTATGTTCACTTCCTTAAAGTAAATAAGTATGTTTTTCATTTACATCTCTAATTAAATTACAAACCAAAATGTATATATTTTAATAATTTAAAATTTTTTATCAATAATAAAGTGATGTAGTGGATAAAATATTTACATTCGAGAATTAGTAGTGATGAACATATAATTTTTAATTTAATGAAATTGAGAACTAAATTTAGTAATATATTAATGAGATTGCGATAACTAAGTTGAGATCAATATTACATTACCTATTACATTTCCATCGAAGAGAACATTTTAAAGCCGTTAAGTTTCTTTAATTTAGCTAGTTATATAACAGATTAAATTTCAATTTAGTTTTTTATTTCTTTAGGAAACAATTTGAGAATTTGTGGCTAATTATTTTAATGTTTTAGTTAAATTTTTATAAGTTTTCTAATTATTATATATTAGTTATCCAAGAATTATATTTATAAGGTTTTTCCTTTTTGGAATTCAACTTTTTATTATTCAATCATTATATATATGTATATATATACATATGTACATGTTATGTTATTTTTCGGAAACACATCAAGCATATGTTGTTTTTCTATTTGTTAAGATATATTATTAATGTCATAATATTACATATATATATATATATTTGTTCTATTTTATTTTTAGATTTGTGAAATAAATTATATATAAAAATTGTACCACAATTTAAAATATATATTTATTAATGTTTGAAATAAATAAAAAGAATTCTCAGTGGATAATGACATGCACTGATATCTTTGATGATATTTCAACATGGTTTCCATATATTCACAAGTCTCCTAAGCTTGTCCTAGTTTAGGAAGCTAAAGCATCTGAATTTTAATGGTAACAATTTTGATTTTCTGAGCAGAAGAATTGTCAGCGTTGGAGAACTTGGGAGTTTTTGGATCTGAGTTTTAATCTTCCCACAAGGTAACACACTCACAGTGAGAATTGTTAACAAGCATTCTGCCATTTGTACATACATAATCTGTGTATATATATACATATACACTTACATGGATACATATCCCGAGCGAAAATGAAAACATGGTTTCCCATCTGTGTATAGATATACATACATACATACATATACACACACATATAAACACACATAACATACACAATCTGTATAATATGCATCTTTTATGACATTTCAACATGGTTTCCAAATATTCACAGATCCCTCGAGCTTTTCCAGATTTAGGAAACTAAAGCACCTGGATCTAAGTTATAACTATTTTGACAATGGAATCTCGAGATACTTGAATCATCTCCCTGCTATTACATCTCTATCCTTGGCGTCTACTAACATGGGAGGACCATTTTCTAGCCATGGTAGGTGTATCAATATATTTTTGTTGTTTATCTTTGTTTCTTGTCTACTTCTCGAGGGAGCAGTTTAAAAAAGTGATGATTAATTTCTATTGAGTTTACTAGAAGACAGGCCTTTTCTTTCTATTTCTTGTTGCCAACTCTATTTAAACATAAGAAAGCAACATTACTGGATAGTTATTGGCTCTAAGAAAAGGTGCTTGGCAGTTAATAGCAAAATTGCTAATAAGGTTTTTAGAAAATGTGATTAAATTGAATTCTCTATGCAGGTTTATGTGCACTAAAGCATCTTGAAGAATTAGATCTTAGTTGGAATATGTTTCAGGGGACCCTTCCAACATGCCTAAATAATTTGACATCCCTTTAAGAGTTTAGATCTATATCACAACCAATTTACAGGAAGCATTTATTCTTCTTTAATAGCGGGCCTCACATCCCTTGAGTACATAGATCTAAGTCAACCATTTTGAGGGCTTTTTCTCGTTCAGCTCATTTGCTAATCACTCGCAAATTTGAGGTTGAAGCTGAAGATCCATATTGGGTTCCTTCATTTCAGTTAAAGGTTCTTGTGCTATCTAATTGCAACTTGAATAGGCTCACTGGTCATGTAACTACGTTCCTCTTGAACCAGGTCAACTTGCTTATGGTCGACTTGTCCTCACAATAATTTGATAGGAAGCTTCCCTAGTTGGTTTCTTCAGAATAATAATGGACTAGAAGATTTATATCTAACAAATAATTGTTCACCAGTCAACTTCAACTATGGCATGTTCATTCTATACTTCACTTGGATATCTCAGGCAAAGGCTTTAATGGACAACTTCAAGAAAATATTGGGAAGCTTGTTCCATGCATGGTGTATCTTAATATGTCTAATAATGCTTTTGAGGGTAGTCTTCTGTCTTCAATTGGTGACTTGAATGAATTGCAAGGATTAGATTTGGCCAATAATAATTTTTCAGGAGAAGTCTCCCAGGAATTGTTTGTAAATTGTACGAAGATCTACATTCTAAACTTAAATAACAATAAGTTCTATGGTGAGATATTCTCTCTCTATTCAACTTAACTTGGATAGTGTATTTAAGTTTGAACAACAATTCGATCAATGGAATTCTACCAAATATAGTGTTACAACGTCCAGATTTGAAGTTACTTGATATTGGCAACAATTACATGTCAGGTGAAATTTTGAGATGGATGGATAATATAACAAGCTTGGATATCCTTTTACTAAATAATAATTTTTTTGAAGATGAAATTCCATGTATACTGGGTAGAAATAAATTCAGAGGTACATTTAACTTTATAGACCTATCTCATAACTCTCTTTCAGGCTCTTTACCTTCATGTTTAAGACTAGAAATGGTAAAACAAATAAATTTACAAGGAAATAATCTCATTGAATAATTACCTAAAGGTCTTCTCAACTCCTCCAACCTATTGACATTGAACCTCAAAGATATTGGCTTTGTTGGCAACATTCCTCACATAATTACAATTTCGAACGTGCAGGTTATGTTGTGAGGAGGAAATTACTTTAGTGGTGTAATTCCTAATGCTCTATGCCAATTAAGAAAGATAAACTTCATGGACCTATCCCACAACTTTTTTAGTGGGTCAATTCCTCATTGCCTCCACAATATCTCATTCAGAAATTTAGCGACTAATGAGTATATCTTTAGATTTCAAAGTACTATGAACAGAATTTGGGGTTTTCCATACTATGGAAACAAAAGCATCCAATATAGTTGGTTTCACCATCAAGTTTTTTATGATTTACAAGACAAAGTCGAGTTTATTGCCAAAAATAGACTCAATTCCTTTAAGGGAAACATTCTCAATTACATGTTAGCATTAGATTTATCCTGCAACAACTTAACAGGTAACATCTCAAGGGAACTAGGATTTCTATCGTGGATTCATGCATTGAATTTGTCTCACAATCAACTCACATGTTCTATTCCTATAACATTCTCAAACCTTAATAAGATAGAGAACTGGAATCTTTCCCACAATAACTTCATTGGAAAAATTCCCTCAAAACTGAATAAACTTTACTTTCTGGGAGCATTCAGCGTTGCATATAACAATTTGTCAGGAAAAATTCCTGATAGTCTGGGACATGGGACGACATTTGCAAAAAGTAGCTTTTAAAGAAATAAATTTTTATGTGGATTTCTATTGAAGAAGAAGTGCCGAGGCGAGGATGATAGGAATCACATAACCACATCTTCATCAAATCAAAGTGAAGAAAAATGGCAAAAGATTGATTGATTAGTCTTCTTTGTAAGTTTTTCAGTAGCTTTTATTATATTCTTCTATGGAGTTGTTTCTGTTCTTTATATTAATCTCTCTTGGCAGTATAGAATTTATGAATATATTTATTTATTTTATGATACTTTCACAAGTTTTTTTTTTTTTTCTTAATCAATATTATAGTAAGATTATGGACAGTAGCCACCATTGTTGATGATCTAACTTTTTTTTTCTAATTCTTCATATCTTTGTTTTTATTTTTGAATAAATGTATTTGTAAAGTAAAAATAAAATCGTAAATTATACTTCAAATATTTACAGATTCAGAAAAAATAGAGAAAAGAAATGGATGACTCAATAAGCAAAAGAATGATTGCCACTTCCCCTCACTGTTTTCTTCTTTTCTACGATTCTCCCCTCTATTATCTTTTCTTTCACTTTCCTACTTGTCAAATAGGTACCAAGATTCCGCATTATATCAGGTAAAGTCAAATATATAATGATGAATGGTCTCCTTTGCTGGTTGTTACAAACAAGAAGATAGTTTTTTACTATTTTATAATAAGAGTTTATACAATTTTTAAAATTTTTTATGAAAAGTAGAACCACAATGCATTTATCTTTATATATCATCGTCAATTTGTTTTTTTAAAAAATTTAAATAATAATTAATTATTTTTTTTAGATTTTATTTAAATTTTTTGAACTTATTTTAATATGTCTTAATCATAAATAAATATTTATCTTATATTACACTGCAGTAAAATTTGTTACCTTATTTTTAAACTTTCTAGGGAATCTTTATCATTCATACATACATTCAACATAAGAAATTAATACATACTTTTTACAAACTATTGTCTCTTCCTCTTACCTAGTTTGTTCTGCACTTTTTTTTTCTATCTTCCTTATGATTAGAATCCAAGAGAAGCCGAGAAAACCCTTTAACAAAATGACGGCATAAAATAGAGAATAATTTCATCGTTGTGTTTTTTATATAAAGTTTTGATAACTTAAAAATTAAGAAAATAAAGTTTAAAAAATCATTGAAATTTTACCCAAAAAGAGAGGTTCAAGAATTAATATCCTCGAGCATACAAAACTTTCATTTTAATTTTCTTTTTTGAACATATTTTAAATTTTTTCTCTTTATAAAATAAAATTTTCAATTATAAAATATTATAATTACTCAATTTACAATTACAATAATTAAGACATTATCGAATAAGCGTGCAAAACATATTCAATTATTTAATTTATATTCTATATATTTTCCTAATCCTTCGTTATTTTGATTCTCGAATCTTTAATTTTGATTTGATTAGGCTGCGGATCCTACTTCCAATATGATATGCAGTGATTTTTTATTTTTAAATAAATTATTTTTACTAAATTGTAGCACTCATTGTTGTAAATAGAATTCGAAGCTTGTCAAAGAGGATGATGCAAAACCCTGTTAGGAGTACCAAGAAAAGAGTTCCCAATTTTCCAATCTATTACCTGATCAGAGAAAAAATAGTGGATGATCAATTTAATATACAGTTGTTTTAGTCTCTTTCAATTTTCACATCATAGTCCACGAAATAGATTACAGACAACTATTTTTTGTCTTTTTTATAAGACAAGAAGCTTCTCTTCACCAGACAAAGAGAATGAAAGAATACAAACAAGGAGAATAAGGAATTCTCCCCTCGACGAATGAGTAAAAACGACAAAATAAAAGATAGATATACTACAAAGGAAACATCCCGGTTTTAATGGACCTCAGATGTGCTTGTGGTGGGAGGTTATAGACAGCTTCTCACCACTTACCAACATTATTCTATCACAAACTGAGCTTTCTGGATATAAGAGATTTACAATTCTCTTTTTCGTTTCCTTTTCCTTTGTGCTACTCTTTCCCTCACGGACACGCCAAGCAGTTGAAAAAAGTGCAGCAGGGGCACAATGATCAAGAATGAGCAGCAGAAACATCACCTTTCAAATCGAGTTGCTTGTCTCCTGCGGAATTCCCCCAGATGTATCCATCTCTAATGCAGGCAACTCCAGAGTTGGTACAATAGGAGGTTTCATTCTTCGTGAAACAGTCATCTTTAGTCCTTCCGTGGTATGGATTGTTGCCCCAGTTGTCATCTTTACCTGCATATCATTCAAAATGTTGGAGCTCTATGATATTCTGATAGTTGACAAGCTGACTCAAAACTTAAAGGAGTCATTGGGTTTAGATAGCAGGGACTATGTGAGATCAATCAGTCACATCCTTTAGTTGAAGTGTCAAGCAAGACTTTTCAACCGGCTTTACCATGATTGATGTTCTGATTACATGGTTAAGTGTAACAAATCAAGTTGTTTGAAGCTGCACTAACCAGACAGCAGCAGGATACCATCAGATTGCTACTATTCTTCTTATAAATTAAAAAAAAAATATGATCTTCAAAATCATCTAATTCAATTGATAATAAAACTAAAAGAGTAAGGCTGCAGGTGACTTACTGGAGGAGCTCCTACTGCCATCTGGAAATCTATCGCTGAACAAGCATTGCAACTGCTACTACAGTCTGCAAATCGAGTTACTGAAAATTGAGTTTATAATGACTTAAAGTTAATTGCAATAATAATCAATATTGGTTTCTAATACAATTGAAGACACTTATCATGACAACCAACAAGTTCATTACTCAATTCTGATATTGGTCCTCCAACAATTTCATTATATGGATTACCTCAAACGAAGCGAACATGTCCCCTATGCATTTCCGTGGTCCTCCACCAAAGGGCAGGTAATTAAAGGGGAAAAACAGCAAATGTTATTAAATTATGGAAATATAGATAGTAGATATAATATAACATCATCTAACTCACTTTCAAGTCCCAGTGTATGAAACAGAGAACTTCAAAATGGAAATTGCAATTAACAAAATATGAATAAAAGTAAATACAAGGTAGCTGTTGTTGCTTGCAAAATCATGAATAATGTCACAGGAAAAAAGCTAGAAATCCAGTCCACATATGCTGCTTTTAAACCTTCCCTGCTTATTCACAGAGTAAATTCTGAGGTTTCAATATATCTGAAGTAAAATCCTGAATAAATTCTGAAGTTCCAATATATCTAAAGAAAAATCCTGGAGAATGGCTAGACTATGATTTCTTAGACAACAACTTTTATCATTCCAGACATGAAGTAGAAACTGCAGTAAGGTCCCCAAGGAAGAGATCTCTCATTTCTTTATATAAGAGAATTTTTTAAAAAAAGTATGGAAAAAAGAATATACATTATTGGATAGGAAAAAGATAAGGTACACAAATGGAGGATGAGATGATTTTCCGCATTAAGGGAAACTGAAACCAGAAAATAAGCTAACTACAAAACAAGATAAACGCAATCCCTTTGCAAAGAAGATCATATGATGGAGCACAGCGGAATACAATGAAGAGAAAAAAAAAAAAATTAAAGAAAAGAAAAGACAAATCAATCTACAACATGAGCATTGACAACAACCACACTTATAAGGCCACAATCATAATCAGAGTTGTCAAACATTCAATTTAATGAGAAATCAACCATTTTGTTCATATGCAGTCTTACTCAGGTATTTATGAAGTGTTTGCATAGCTTAATATGACTAAAATACTTAAAAGGAAAAAATTAATCAAGTAAGGTTCTAACTAAATAAGAAATAAAGTTTCTAAACAGTATGTGAACCTATTTAATAGTTTTAAATTAATTAAGTACCCTTAATAATATATGAAGACTATAATTATATAAAAATCTCATAATACGTCCTTTCTCAGGTATTATATTCTGCCACCATGAGCATTAACCAAATGCAAAACTGAAAAATGCTAATCTATCCTACACAACCAGGAAAAAATGGAAACATTCTTCATATAATTTGGCATTCTTCTACAGCCACAAAATATAAAAAAAAACCCACATGAAAAAAAATGTGTCACTGAGTGGTGAAGATTGTTTCTTGGCCAATTTGAGAATATCACGTAGGAAGGATGCAATGAGCTTCAAATAAAGACTCATGCTGACGTACTCAATAAGGCTCGATTAATTGATTTAGGAATGAAGCGCAGAAGAAGAAAGTTGTTAAGTAGTAAAGGAAAGAGTTTGAAGAAAGTTTGAAGAGGAGGCAAAACCAGAGGAGAAAAAAAAAACTTGGGTGGGCCTTTCAAGAGACAAGATATTCAACAATTTACGGTCTAATGGGAACTGACAGCATTATAATGGGGTTCATGCAGACCAAGATTGTTGATTGCCCCCGAAGAAAGAACCTACCATTAATAATTTAACCAACCACCAAACTCAAGATTGCCAGGTTGGTCTGTCCAATCTCAAGTACTGATTCAAAAGGATGGGTCAAATCCATCTGTGAACGATTGAGACCAAATATCATTGACTTATAACAGTTTGGACTTAAACCACTAGCCTCAAAAACTCAAGTTTAAGATATAGTAATGAATGACTTGAACACTAATATAGAACTCAACAATTATGTTGGATTAGACATCAAAATTTACATTATTCAAATCTTTGAATCATCATACTAGCATGTGATCTAAAATCATTTATAAAGCATCAAATTCAAGTAAAGCCAACAACCTTTGAAAGCAAACTATTAGCTTTCAAAAGCTCAAGCTCAAATTACTCATAATAAATGACTTAAGTTCTTATATGGAGTTTAATAATTACATATTTTTCCAATACCAAATTTGTAGTCAATTCATACCACCTAAATCCAAAGCACCACTAAACGAAAAACTTCTTCAACTCAAACCACTATAAATGTATGGGTAATAGGTGATTCATGATTGGTGTATTATGAACAAAACGCAATAATGCTCTCTCATTAATTGCCTAACAATTTTCTCTCTTTTCTTCCCTATATTTTCTAAAAACTATTCCTCTTTACTTGATTAGATATCCTGCTAATAGATGAATTAACACAAATTTTGAACAAGAAAAAATAGGGCAAACATCATAGCAGAATAGCCTCCTAAGAACTTCTTATAATAGACAAAAGGCAAATCTCTGAAAAGAAGCCATGCTCCTTAGGGTATAAAGATGCCATGCAAATTATCCAATCTGAAATATTTATAGCGCATACCTATATTATGGATTTATTACATCCCAATTAGAACTTCCATTTTCAAACTTCAATGATAGCACTTAACATTCAACAGTAAGCTTTTAACTTCTCTTATTTGATGAAACAAAGTAAAGTTAAAGAAACTTAAAAAAAAAAAAAAAAAAAAAAAAGAATGTAAAATTGAGTTAAGTGGTGCAACCAACAAAGTGAGTACTTCACCAGAAATTTTGATTAGTCTCATTTGGATTTGGACCATCTAGAGGCCACCTTTCGGGATTAAATTTATTGGCATCATCCCACAGATGTGGACTACGATGAAGATTCCAAACAGAAATAAAAATATCTTCACCCCTGCATGTAAAAAAAAAAAAACAGAATGGCGTGAATACAGATTAATAATATTTTAGTTATTATGTCTTACAGACTGAAAAAGAGATTGTAGGCCACTGACAACTTTAATTAATAAACCATTGGGATATGCAATATACAAATAAAAAACAAGCCAGGGGTTTAAATTTGAGAAATCATAATAAGTTTGAATTAGTAGATTAATAGCTCAACTAGAAAGCTTTATCGAGATTTGCGAGAAGACATCTGAATGGAATATGTGTGTTTCTGCCTGTGGATGAGTTTAAAGAACATTTAATGGAAAAAGCATGTAGTGGTTGGTGCTTTCTAGAAATTGTATTTCGAGCTATATATTGATCAAATTCTATCCAACGCACGTGTGTGGTTCAAACCATATATGCTAGAATTTCATTACAACCATAAGACCCATAATCCAGTAAAAAATGCCCCCTCTGAAGCACCCCATGCTTAGCACTCCCAAGAAAGGAAAAAGTAGAAGATATTTAGGTTCTCTCAACTAGGGAAGTAAACCAAAACTTCCTCAATTGTGGAAAACAAATTGGACAAAATCCATACCACATTACTATAAAGAAACAAATGGCTACTACATTCTGAACTCCGGAAGCACATCAAAGAAATATGAAGGGTGGTGCCTTTGGAAAGCATATCATATCATTAGTGTCAATCCTACTCAAGACCAAGTCCAAACGAAAACTTTTCCACCTTAGAGGAAATTTTCCAGCCAAAAAGAATGGCATAAGACTGTATTCTTGGGTATTAAAGTGAAGGACCAGACACTTAAAAGAAGTTCCAAGCGTAAATACCCAATGAATCAATCAGTCAGAGCCCAAACTCTGGATCAGATCTAGGAGTGAGACAAAAAGCATCAAGAAGGTTCATCTAGAGCTTTAGATCTAACACTGCCCTAAAATTACAATTTTTAAGGGGGAAAAAAATTTACAAGAAATGGAATCTAATGAGTCAAGAATGCAGTTATAGGAGCATAACATTTATAAAAGAATCTGTATAGATAAGGAAAACAAGATTCAAGAGAAGACTCCAACCAGAGATCCTCCCAAAAAACGAAACAAGAGTAATCGCCAAAACTCAACATAATGAAGGCCAAAAAGGACATGGATGACATTTTGCTTTCTTGACTTCTGTATAATTTCGAGAAAGGTGGCACTCTCCTTGATGCCCTGTCAATATATTTCACTCTTTTTCTTCTAAAAAAGAGAAGGGGCCAAAAGAAGCGCTGTCAATATAACTCTTTTTCTTCTAATAAAAGGACAAGGGGCCAAAAGAAGCCATAAACATGACAAATGAGTTGCTAGAGCTCCTAACAGTAGTATAAGACTTGAATTTAGTATCTCAACTATTCTGGGACAACTGCTATTCGTTTGTCATCTCCTTGTACCACAAAAAATTAGGTTCCAAAGGAATACACGATGGCCATTTAGTTGAGGCCAAAGTTTTTTTTACAAGATTCCAAATAACAAGACCCCTGTCCTATTCAACTGCCAAAAAGCTTCATCTAACCATTTTATCCCTAAAGACCTCTTTCACCCTAGACGAAAGAAAACCCACAGAATTTTCTTAACTCCTTTCGTGAAGGAATTAGCATCTGAAAAAGTTGAACAACAAAAAAGAATGTTAAACAAACACACTTAAATGAGAGTGACCAGATCCCCTAAAGAGAATAGTGCAACTTTCTTACTGATAAAAATAGTTTTTTGATTGATATATATTCCACTGAACGTTACATCCCAATATATATAAGTTTTCCAGAACAGAAAAGAAAATAGAAAATTAATTACAAATAGTGTAATTTTACTTTTTAACATGATTTATTTCCTCTTTAACATTCTAATTTATTTTCTCTCTAATACCCTGACTTACTTTCTCTTTAACACCTTGATTTACTTTCTTTTTAACATTATGATTTTTTTTCCTCTTTCTTAGAATATTATAGAATATTTTCTAACATAATAATATGATTATATTTCTAAATATATAAGCTTAATTAGGAAGAAAATTATTATGCTAATTTATATTGGTTACCATATATGAATCCGTCTACATATATATATCCCTACTTTTGTTTCTATAAAACATAAGAATATTCAGTATTCCTTTCCCTAATTCTTACATGGTATTAGAGATAGGGTTAGAGTTAGGGTTTTATGAGTCAAATTTTATCAGACCAAAAGAGGGTTAAACAACCCATTCCCGACACCGAAGGAAGTCGATCAATGATCTCCGGCCAGTTCAGAATGCGGCCATTACAGTGGCGTACGCGGAAAAATTCAAGATGGTGGTTTGCGCGGCAATTTGAGGCTGTGTGTGTCAGGTTTTGTCGAAGGAGTGTATTTCTGTGCAGTTTGCTTTCTCATTTGAAGATAGAAGCAACAGAGAGGCTCGGTTGACTGGCTCTGTGCATGAAACCAAAAGGCCACAGAAAGAAAAGGCGTGGCGGAGTAGATCACGTGACAGGAATCGATTCTCCGCTCTCCAGCGCGATTTCGGTTGTTTCTTCGAGCGTTATTTCATATTAGGGCTGACATTGGAGTTCTATGGTGATTTCCGGTCAAAAGGAGGCTGTTTGGTAGTTTTAGACGGCAGTGCAGATCTCCATTGGTTGACAGTGAGGTTCTATTAGGGTTATTGATACCTGTACGTGAAGGATATTCTGTTTTCTCAAATTTCCTAGTATATTTGCAGTGTTTTTGGTGTATCTCTAACTGCTATATCTGGATATTTTTGAATGACAATTTGTAGATATTCTCGAGTTAAGAATGAAGAATAACAAGTTTTCAGTTAGTGAGATAGTCTCAGCCATGTCAAAGATCACTAAACATAAATTGAATGCAATAAATTATCTGGAGTGAAGTAAAACTATTAAAGTTTATCTACGCGGTATTGATAAAGATGATCACTTGATTCAAGACTTTCCCACTGATAGAACTAGACAAATCACGCTAAGAGATGACATTGGATATACACCTCTTCGTTTGCGATGCTCATCAATGGCAGTCCATCCAAATTCTTTGGTGCATCTAAAGGTCTAAGACATGGTTATCCCCTTTCACCATTATTGTTCATCATTATCATGGAAGCCCTAAATGACCTCTTAACCAGGGCTGTTGACATTCAATTAGTGAGGGGGATCGTGGTAGGTAAAAATAATCATGAGATTCAAGTGTCTCACCTATTTTTCGCAAACAACACGCTCATATTTTGTCAACTGGATGTGAGGTACTTGCTGAATTTGAGATGTGTTCTCCTTTACTTTCAGGTTGTATCCGGTTTAATAATTAATCTCGATAAGTTTGAGTTGGCTAGTATTGGCGGGAATTGGGAATTTAAGCTGTTTGCTAGAGTGCCTGGGTGTAAAGCAGTTAGGTTCTCCATGAAATATTTGGGTATTCTTCTAGGGGCTAAATATAAAGACACTACCTCTTGGGAGCCGATTGTGGAATTATTTGAGAGGAATCTTGCGAGGTGAAAGCATAACCTCTTCTCAAAAGGTGGTAGATATACCTTAATCAAAAGCACTTTGGCCAACATTCCTATCTATTATCTTTCTACCTTTTCGATACCAGCAAAGGTGGCCAAGAGACTAGAATCAATTCAATGTCGCTTCCTTTCGGGGGATGTTGATGGGAAACACAAGTATCATTAGGTAAAGTGAGAGGATATTTAAAGGCCCATTTGTTTGGGTAGACTTCGCATTAAATCTATGGTGAAAATGAATGATGCTCTCCTTGGCAAATGGTTGTGAAAATACATGATTGAGGATAATAGGTTGTGGAGGAGGATTATGGAGGCTCGTTGGGGTGATCCTAATATGATTCCGAGAAGTAGGCTCTCTACTCTGCATGGCAAAGGCTTATGACAAAAGATCTTATCTTTTTGGCCCCAATTCAGCCTATGCTCACAATGGAAACTGAGGAAAGGTAATAAAATCAAATTTTGGACTAACGATTGGTTGGAGAGGGGTAGTCTCAAAATTTATTTTCCGAGGATTTTTTCTATTGCCCAATGGAAGAATATGCTCATTGAAGATGTGTATCAACGATCGAATGGTAATGTAATTTGGGACAAAAAGATTGTAAAAAACTTAAATGATTGGGAAATTAATGATTATGCAGAGATTCTTAAGTGTTATCTTCACAACAAATCTCTTCATCTCCTGACAAATTTATTTGGAAATTAGAGGAGTCTGAAAGATTCTCGGTTAGATCCTACTACAACTTCTTAATGAAGGATACTACGTTGGTTCACTGGAACTTCCCTTACAAACAAATCTGGAAAACAAATATCCCTCTGAGGGTCGCTTTCTTTGCGTGGGAAGTTAGTTGGGAGAAGATTCTCACAATTAATAAACTCATAACTAGAGGACAGATTCTTGTGAACGGGTGTTATATGTGTTTGATGGCTGAGGAGTCCTGTAATCATCTGCTGCTTTAGTGCCCCGTGGCTTGGGACCTTTGGTGTGTGATCTATGGTTTGTTAGGGATTCAATGGATGATGGCGGGTTCGGTCCATGAGGAAATTTGGGCTTGGAATGGGTTATATGTAAAAAGAAACATTGTAAACATTATTCCATTAACTGTTTTATGGGTTATCTGGAAAGAACGAAACTTGAGAGCTTTTGAGGGTAGAGTTTGCAGCCATATAGCATTAAAGATAAATGATTGTATTCTTTTGGAACCACATTATTAGGTCATGACATTATTAACGATGTAAATTTTGGAAATGTCATTGATGAGTTAATTCTTTTGTAAATCTTTTGTACATGAGTGATACCCCCGTTTTGGTACTATGTTAATACAATACTTTACACTTTTTATTTTTAAAAAAAAAATTAGCTTAATTAATCATTGAGTTTGTTAAAGAACTAATGAATTATTTAATGTTTATATATTCAGACGAAAAAAATGTGTCTCACATGTATGATGCTTGTGAAGCTTTCTATCGTGCTAAAAATGAGGTCAAATCTC